CCCCCAACATACCCCGGGGCATTATGAAACACATCCTAACCCCTCCCACTCCATTTTGACAGGGCCGGCTCCAGCATTTCTGCCGCCCCAAGCAAAAAAAAAAAAAGCCGCGATCGGCGGCGGCAGTGCAGCAGCAGGTCCTTTGCTCCTAGAGGGAGTGAGGGACCTGCCGCCCCCGAATTGCCGCAGGTGCCGCCCCTCTCCCTTGGCCGCCCCAAGCACCTGCTTGTTAAGCTGGTGCCTGGAGCCGGCCCTGTATGTTGGGGTACAATAAAGAAAACCACACTTTCACAAATCGGTGTATTTGTAGCCACAACAGACTAAGCTGAATTTTAAAAGTTTCACCCCATTAAGTTATGTTAAACGTTTGTATAACATTATGTGTGATTGTTTATATTTTCAGGAAAATAAAGAATTAGGTGCAACAATTGCATGCACAAAATCAGAGTGCAAACAATCACAATGGGGGAAAAGGCATATGTGCACATTCCCCTTCCTCAGGCCTGGAGTTTGGTTTGACTTTTTGTCACAAACATTACACACTGATGACTAGGCCTGACGAGAGGAGGGGAAAGGGAGAACAATTTCCCAAGGCCCCAAGCTCAGGGGGTGGGGTGTGTTTCACCAAACATCTGTAACTGGTGAAATCAACCACATACATATTTTAATCCACACCGTTTGTTTTGTCCCTGTCAGAAGAAACTTAGGCCTGGTCTACACTAGGCGTTTATGTCGAATTTAGCACCGTTAAATCGAATTAACCCTGCACCCGTCCACACCACGAGGCTATTTAGTTCGACATAGAGCTCTCTTTAAATCGATTTCTGTAATCCTCCCCAACGAGAGGAGTAGCGCTAAATTCGAAATGGCCATATCGAATTAGGCTAGGTGTGGATGGAAATCGACGCTAATAGCTCCGGGAGCTATCCCACAGTGCAACACTCTGTTGACGCTCTGGACAGCAGTCCGATCTCGGATGCTCTGACCAGCCACACCCCGGGAAAATTTGAATTCCTTTTCCTGTCTGGGCAGTTTGAATCGCAGTTTCTGTTTGGACACCGTGGCGAGCTCAGCAGCAGTGGCAAAGATGCAGAGCTCTCCAGCAGAGATGGCCGTGCAATCCCAGACTAGAAAGAGGGCCCCAGCATGGACTGATCGGGAAGTCTTGGATCTCATCGCTGTGTGGGGAGATGAGTCCGTGCTTGCCGAGCTGCGCTCCAAAAGACGGAATGCAAAGATCTACGAGAAGATCTCTAAAGCCATGGCAGAGAGAGGATACAGCCGAGATGCAACGCAGTGCCGCGTGAAAATCAAGGAGCTGAGACAAGGCTACCAAAAAACCAAAGAGGCAAATGGACGCTCCGGATCCCAGCCCCACACATCCCGTTTCTACGAGGCACTGCATTCCATCCTAGGTGCGGCCGCCACCACTACCCCACCACTGACCGTGGACTCTGAGGATGGGATATTGTCCGCGGCCGGTTCCTCCGACATGTTAGCGGACGGGGAAGATGAAGAAGGAGATGAGGAGGACAATGCAGTCGACAGCGCTGGCACCGCTGATTTCCCCGACAGCCAGGAGCTCTTCATCACCCTCACAGAGATCCCCTACCAACCGTCCCCCGCCGTTACCCCAGACACAGATTCAGGGGAAGGATCAAGCAGTAAGTGTTTTAAATATCTTAACATTTATTTATAACAGAACTTGCATATTTTAAATATTAACAATAGCTAAAGTGCTTTCAAGTATGTAAACTTTTATTTATAACAGAACAGGAAGATTTGAAATATTAACAATGGGTAAAGTGCTTCTAAACATGTAAACAGGAAAGTGCAACAAAAAGGGGAATCTGAACAAAGGGTTTCATG